AATTAACTAGATTGTTAGTATATATTAATCTTATTTTAGTTTAACCATTTAAATATAACTAAGACAATGTTGGTATTGGTTTCGTATTTACAAAATACTTTTATTTGTTAGTTAATTAGATGTAGAATTGATATTTACTAATTATAATCACCCACATCTTTATAATTCTAACCGGATGACCTATTGACCTTGAACAAAAAATTGGACAGCATGATTCGGCAACTAAGCGAAAAAAAGTTAAATTATGGAATTATGACAACAAATATTTCATTTTAGTGGGTGCAATGTCCTAAGAGATGATTAATTAATGAGTGTGTTTTTTATTACTAGTTATTTATAGGAGGTTTTTTTTTTTTTTTTCTCCCTGGACAGGAATGTAAAGATGGTGGACCAGGTTTCGGGGGGAAATGAAGTTAGTGTGCCTTAATAGTGGTAATAAGTGGACGTTATTTTCATTCAACAAAACCACTCCCCTAATGATCTCTTCAACCCCTTTTTCCCTGCCTACATTTTGGACGAACAAATCATTCATCAAAAGATTATTTCACCTTGCTCGAGAAGTCTAGAACCTTAATTATTACATGTAGACTCATTGCTCAAAATTTAATTCTTGAAAGAGAATTCACAAGAAAATAAACCTTATATGAATTTAATAATCTTATTGATAATAAATTGTTTAGAAATGTAGTCAAATCAACGTTTACAAGCTAATCTACAACAACACCCCTATCTCCTATCCACAAATTTTAAAGCACATAAATTAATTCAACAATTCAATCATTTCAAAGTGTTAGGCATGTAATGGGAGCGCCAAAGTAGAAGAATGTTCACCAAGATTGCAATGGAAAGGCAGAACTTTCCAATATGGGTTTGTAAGACCAACTACCAAATAAGTTTAGGCAACTGACTTTGACTACCCTTTTCAAGGGCAACAAGAAAAGCACCCTCTTCCCTCACAAAACAGAATATCATGAGCCAAATATCTTGAGGCTTTTCAATCCTCACAATAAAAGCAACATTAAACAAGAATGGAATAAGGGGCATTAGGTGAACAAACTCACTGGCAGAAAAACACCAATTTTTCGTTCCTTCAGTCCTACTCCATTTTAGAGAAGGATTAGTTTTCCCCCTTTTTCATCACCCTTTTATGGATGATTCTAATTATCTTTTGGACAACCTGAGAATAGTATATCTATTTATATGTCAAAAGTCAAATCAAAACTGTTCTATTTGCTATTTAAGGCAAATAATGGATGGTTTTGATTAAATAATCAGGTTGACTTTGCACAATTGATGAAAAACCCAGTTAGGCCTATTTGTTTCACCAACTTTTGACAGGGAAAAGTGAAGATGGATGGACCAGAGCTGTCAGGTTTAAGCTGGGCCAATCTGGTAAGCTGATTCCTTTCAGCCCAGTACTTTTTGTGATATGGAATCAACTGGACTAAAGGGATATATGGGCTCACTTCTGAGGCCAGCTTCAGTTCTGGGCTAGAGTATGATTGGGTCAGTCCGACTAAGCTCAGGGATGTGAATTTTTTTTTTAATATCCCTTCTTGATTTATGAAATCAATGATAAAAATAATATTATATGATATTACAAATTTATAATATGATATATTATTATATAAATAGTTATTTTTATTTAGAAATCTACTTGTGAAATTATATGCGCACATATAATAATTTAATTTTTTATCATATTGATTTAATATCACATGATAAATTTAACTATAGCATTACCAAAAATAATACTGAGTTAATCAAAAAACTAAAAGGGCTAATGGCCTAGCCGTAGAGCATTTAACTGCAGATCAAGAGGACAGAAGTTGAAATAAGGTTGGGTTCTTTTCATGTTATAATTTTCTTGTTTCATAATGGCTAGCGGTACTAAGACTTTGTTGGCAAAGTAATTGCCTTCAACCACATACCATAATTTAGAATGTTAGAACCTGTTTGGATGCTCTTGCCTTTAATCTTTTAGGTGTCTCTTAGCTTGATGGCATATGCAGCTTTATTCGTACTACTGAAAAGAGGCCTATATTAAACTTGTATGGAGGAAACTTAAGGCAATACTAGTAAACCTCAAAAAGAATTCAACACTTTACAGAGCATATAAACACCGTGGGGACCTCTCCTTACTATATGACTGATCCAATCCTAATAATTTAAGATCATCTTTTTGGGATTCGACATAACTAAGCTAGCTGTAAAGAAACTAATTTCAGCTATGCATTCAAAAAGATTATGTAATTAAATTCGTTTGTCAACATTAAGAAGTTCTTGCTTTTTTAGTCTAAAATTCACTAAAAAATAATATAAATAGTAAAATTATTTATATAATAAATTAACACATGAAGAAAATTCATTACAGTTACCTTTAATAATTAAATTGCCGAAAGAACAAAGCATTAAAGAAATGAGAGTATAGAGATTAGTTGTATTTGGGCAAACAACGGTAAATCAAACTTTCGTCCACTGAGGGACTATAGCTTTGGAGCTTCAACTTTCGAGCCATTCATGTATGAAGAAGAATTAGGAATAAAACAAGGGGAAAAGGAATATTTTTTTATTCTAGATCAAGAATGTATTGGAACTTTAAAAATCTTAATATGTGGGTCGAGATTTAGATTAAAAATTGAAGTACATGCCACAGGTAATATGTTCACGTTGCCTTAATTCATATGCATCAATGTATGTACATGAACATGATAGTTACAATAAATTAAAAATCAATAATGTATAATTTTTTTTTTTTGTAGATATAAAAAATTTTGAAATTGAATCGCATAACATATAGATAAAATGAATTAAAAGATGAAAGATAATTATTTCTTATTATATAATTTAAAATAGAAAAATCAATTATGGAGGAAAAAGAATTTAAAACTAGTAGAATTATTAAAATATGAATTATGAAAAATCAAAATATTCTAACAATTAAAATGTCAAAAATAATGATATGCAAGAAAAATTCATTAAGAATGTTTGAATATTTTTATAGACAATTCTGATATTTTAAATATTTAAGTGTTCTGATTTTTTCTATTTTCAATAAAAAATCACATTTTAGCTTCCTCAACCTTTAAATATGATTATACATTGAAACAGACATTAAAAGTAAAGTATTAACATTACTATCAACCAACCATGTGATTTGATACTCCTTTGTTAAACTAGCTACTTTTAAAATTAGAGTATTTAAATTTATTTATCTATTTTTTTATTTTAAGATATTTTTTAATATTTTTATTTTTATTGTATTCTTATTTTAGGAAGATAATTATGACACCTTTATAATAAACACCTTTTTTCATAGTAATTAATTAAAAATAAATATAAAATTTTACTAATCAATTATCACTACTACTATTTTTTTGAAAAAAAAAAAAACTCCATAGGACAAAAGGAGGAGCAAAATTATCTGCAATTTAGAGTATATACTAAAAAAATTTAAAGCTGCATTAAATTGAAAAAACTGAACATAGTTAGCGTCACCCGTGAGATATTATTATTATTTTTTTTTTTTGGTACAACACGAGAAATTGGTGTTGCCACACAAATCATTAGTACTATTTCCTTTGATTATTTTGACTCTTAGATATCGATAGCGCTTAGATATTGATAGCCATCGGTGTTAGTTAATATTATAATTAATAAAATAATTAATATTTATTATTATTTAATAATTTAAAATTAACTTATTAATGCCAACGATTTAAAGAATTCAGTAATAATTTTTTTTTGCTACAAATAAAATATTTTGAGCTTAAATCGCGTGACATGTAAGTGAGGTGGAATAAAGGATCAGAAAGGTTTTCTCCCATTGTGCAACCAATCATAAAAAAAAAAATAACTTATTAATAGTTAATGACCTAAATAGTTCAGTGGTTATTTTTTTCCGTTGAAATTAAAATCATAAATTTAAGTCGCATGGCATGTGAGTGGAATGAGATAAAAGGTGAAAGGTAATTACTTTTCATTGTACAACCAAAATAAAAAAAAATACTAATAAATAAGTTCTAAATAATATAGTTACAATTTTTATTTGTTAAAAAAGAAATTAATATATTTTAGTTTAAATTATACATTAAAAATATAATTTTTACTCAAAAATTATTAAGTTATTTTTAAGTTAAATCCCCATTTTGGTCCCTCAACTATTGTACGGACCCCTAATTTAGTCCCTCAACTCAAAAAATCTTTGATTTGGTCCCTACTGTTTATCATTTTAACCCTAATTTGGTCCCTCTGTTAAAAATCCACTTACGTGTCCTGTTAACTAGTAGAAGCACGATGACATGTCAACATATTAAATACATAAAGAAAGACAGCATGGCAAAAAATACCTTAAAAAATTCTCTTCTTTCTTCTCTCTTTCTTCTTCCTTGCCTTCTACAAACCCTAAAGAAAAAACCTAAAATTGCCCCCCAATGAAACCTACAATTTCATCTTTTCATTTTTTTTCTCTCTCTATCTCTCATCCAACACCAGATCTAGACATTTTCCCTTCCAATTTCTCTCTTTTGTTGGGTTTGAAAGCTAGGTTCAAAGGAACTTAGAAGGAACCCAGCACAACTAGGTTCTTTCGAACCCAGTAGCTGTTGGGTTGATTGAACCCAATAGGTGTGTTGGGTTCGAAATCGAACCCAGCAACAACTTCTTCTTCCTCTTCCTTTCCTTTCACCTACTACAAACTCAGACACTTTCTAACATCAAATCCAAGTATAACACAAACATAAACCCAGTATCTCCCTAAAATAGTCACTGCCCTCTCAGCCTTCCAAAAAACCCAAAAAAATCAAGGTATCTTCAATCAAACCCAACAACAGGTCTTCAATCAAACCCAGCAAAGGTAAATTAATCAAACCCATCAAAGGTTCTTCAATCGAACCAAACAGGATCAACGAACCCAACAAGCGCTCTTGGGTTTGATCGATGAACCCAGCATGAACCAAGAGGCAACTACTGGGTTCAATGATCAAACCCAGGAGTGCCTGCTGGGTTCATCGATTGAACCCAACAGCGTCGTTGGGTTCATCGATCGAACCAAGTGCTGGACCCAATGGCACCTGTTGGGTTCAATGATCGAACCCAGGAATGCATGCTGGGTTCATTGATTAAACCCAGTAGCATCGTTGGGTTCTTCGTTCGAACCCAGTGATGCCATTGGGTTCATCAATCGAACCCAAGAGCGCTTGTTGGGTTCATCGATCGAACCCAAGAGCGCTTGCTGGGTTCATCGATCGAACCCAGGAGCGCTTGCAGGGTTCATCGATCGAACCTAGCAAGCGTTGCTAGGTTCCTGTTGGGTTCATTGATCGAACCCAGTAGCCATCAATCTAACCCAAAGCCCCTAAGGCCAACGAACAAGGATTTGGAGGAAGAAGATGAATGCTAGAGATGAAAATGAAGGGCTAACGAAAGGAAAATGGAAAGAAATTGATGTGTGATTGAAGATGAGGGTAAAAAAGTAACTTTAGTTTAACAATTAATTTTAGATATTTTAATTTTTACTGAAAATCACATGTCAAGTTCTATATGCCTACATGTCAATATTTTTACATGTCATCATTTTTCGTCAACTAACAAGACATGTAAGCAGATTTTTAATGGAGGGACCAAATCAAGGTTAAAATGATAAACAGTAGGGACCAAATCAAAGATTTTTTGAGTCAAGGGATTAAATTGGGGTCCATACAATAATTGAGAGACTAAAATGGAGGTTTAACCTTATTTTTATTGTTTAATAAATCAATATAAAAAATTTTATTAAAAATATTTTAATAATTATAATAATCATATTGTACTTTAAAAATATAATCTATTTAATAAAAATTCTTTTAAAAACATATAAATTAATAAAATTAGGGAAATTAAATTCACAAAAAAATAAAAAATTGTGCCGCAATTACCATGCCGAAAAAACCGACTGAAAGAATAATCGAAATTATGACCGTCTCGGTTGTCTCAGCACATTGGCCTTTGAAAGTTAGTTGAAAAAACAAACAAACAAGAGGTACTAATCACCTACTGATTTAAGTAAGAGAAGTTTTAGATCGTTTTAAATATAATTTTAAATTTAAATTTTATAAATATAAAAATTTATTTATAAGATACAATACAATTTAATTTTAAATTAATTAAAATTTAGTATAATTATTAAATACTAAGAGTTAATAAAAAAACCAAGGCAAAAGGCACTAAACTCTGAACAAGTGAACGGAACACCAACATCCCTCTAAGTCTAACGAACAGAAGATTGGGAGGAGGAACTAAGCATTTATCATCAATAGTTCGTTCTAAATTTTAATATTTGAGTTTAATTAGTAAAAAATTTAACTTTTATTAGCAACTTGAAAAAAAAATATTTCATTCCACAAAATTGACCCGTGCTCCAAAAATAGAAAAAAAGGATAGGGGCGAGGGAGAGAGCGAGTCACCAAAATGGAGAAGTGAGAACCACCACTTCCCACTTGAACGTTGCTCTGTGGATCCCAGTGTTCCCTTAGTCCGAGTCTCACATTCTTCCTCCCCAGTTATGTATCACTATCAACTATCTTCTTCTTCTTCGTTTTTTTTTTTTTTATGTGCAGGGGAAAAGTATAATTAATGTTGTAAATTTTATATTGAAACTGTAAATATTAATTTTAATTAATTAATTAAAATTATTTACATGTCATTAATATTAAAATAAAAATTAATTTTTATAATTTTTTATATAAATTAAT